AAGTGAGTGGCTTCTGTGAGGGGCAGAGCTGTGGCCAGTACACCAAGGCTGGACATGCCCCTGTGTTGTGCACACGGGGCTGGCAAGACCTGGTACCAGTGCTCCGTGTGGGCCTTCAAACGGCTGCACCCACTCCATAAAGCTTGCACTTACTCAGAGCGAGCTGCCTTGCCACAGTGCAGGCCCTTGCCACCGCCTCCAAGGTTATGAATGATAGGTCTTGTAGCTCTATTGCACTGTTTTCCCAATTCAGAACAAAGACTTAGAAAGCTAGATGTATTCTGGGAGTCCAACTCATGCTGTCCTTATATTTTACAGATAACCATGGAGCAGAGAGTGGCATGGTTAGTATGAGACAGAAGTGGAACCCGGCTTTCTGCACTCCTCCCACTGGTCTCTTTATGTTCTGCTGCCTTTTAAGAACCTGCAGTTGCCAGGGGCCATGGAAAGGACACCCCTAAAGGCCATGTCGCCGGCCGGCAGGGCAGAGAGCAGGTTATTGCTCTGCACGGTTATTGAAGCGCTGCTATTGGTTTCCAGGAAGAAGCTTCTCGTACCCTGCCACCCCTGAGTCAGCTCTGAGCATCACCCACCTATCAACATTGTTTCCCACATTTTGCTAATCACTTCTTGTTTCAACCCACTTACCAACCCATTGTCTTCATAATCTTTGTCTTCTGTATTCTTTTGAAATTGCTTTTATCCCACTTTCCTCTCTTCTTTATATGTAGGTAGGAGATATATGAAAGGAGTGTTCAAGTGAGAGGCTTATTATAAATGTGTTGTGAAGATTCACTGTACAGAATCAAATGGGGCTCCAAAAAACAAAGTTTTTGAAGGTAAACACCAATGCATGCCTGGGAATGGTGTGTGTATATGTGCATGTGTGTGTGCTTTGGGTAAATGAGTATATGGACTATAATGTAAAAATTGTCCTTTAAAAGAATGGGTTTGGATGTAGATAGCTAAAAGAGGGGCGATGTTGGTGTGAGAAATGGTACAAGCAAGCTAATTTTTATATGGGGTTGCATCCAGAAGGTTCTTCACCAACTTCCATGATGGGTTGCCAAGTATAATGAGTAGGACTGAAATTACAGTAAAATGTTCAGACACTGGAATCAGAGTCACAGTCTTAAATTCCAGCTCAAGTACTTACAAGCCAGTGGGATATGCCTAACCTCTCAATTGGCTCCTCTGTAAAATTGGGATAAATATAGCACTTACTTCCTAAAGTCATTAAATGAGATGAAACATGTGGAACACTTAGTCTAGTGGCCCTGTGAATAGTAAATGCTTGGTGATAATTAACCATAATTATGGGGGCATTGAGGACTAGAGGGAGCTCTTACGGTCAGTGAAAAGGCTTACTTAACTGGACAAGATCACACTGATCTTGTGCTGAAACTATTGCCACTCAGGCATAGAATCAGAGAATTAGGCTTTGTGGGGACCGTAGAGGAAATCTTATCCAAAATAATCTCACTGAGACCATTCAGATGCATATTCCCCAAACTAGTCAGCTAGTGAGCAGCAGAGCCTGGCTTCAAAGAATGCTGAGACACACAGACCCATTCCATTCTGTCCTATTTTAGTTTCTGCAGCTGAACTCTTATACTGGTGTCACCAACACAACCTTTACATATCTTCATTCACTCAACAAAATTGTCCTGACTAGCTACTATGTACAGATCCCTGTGTTGGGTTCAGGATCAAACCAGTGACATGATCCCTACATTCATGGAGCACATGGGCTCAAGGGGAAGAAAGCTTTTAATCAAACAAACTAAATAAATGAAAATAAATTGCAAAATAGAAAGTGACATGTGCAGAGACAAGGAGTCTATCTGTCATCTCAGTGCTCACCCCCTAGATGTGGATCCTTGCAGTACAGATGCACATTTGAATGACCCTAGGGAATGCATTGTGTTGAATGAACCACGCTTTCAGAAACTTGGTACAAATGGGTCTGCATTGGGGAAACTGATCTACTCTCAGAGGTCAGGAAAGACTTCCTTCAGTAACAGAGGCTGAAACGTGACTAGCCATTAACTCAGTGAAGCAAGATAGGGTCAATTATAGGGACTGGTGGTGGTATAGTAAAAAAGAATAGGAGACTCTGGAGGCAAGAAAGCACAAATCCAGTAGGGTGATTATTCTGACAGTTGTATCAAGGGAAGCAGCGATGAGATGGCCTATCTCACACCACGTGTTGAAAATACCTTTGTGTCTTGCATCTATACAATAGTTTTCAGGTTGTACACCTCTTTGATGAATATTGCCTTAATCATAATTCAGAATGGCAGTTAGAAGGCCAGGAAATACTATCCTAATTTTAACTGAGTAAACCGAAGCTCTAACCTATGCATCATCAAATTCACACATCTAGCCATAGCACTTAAGGGTATCTTATTTATAGGATATTGGTTAATCCTTTCTTCAGCCTTTTGAGGCAAATATTAACATTCTGATAGCATACATGAGGAAATAGGCTCAGCAAGCCTAAATGGTTGGCATGTGATTGATCACATTAGGGTATGAATCTATGTCTTTTCTATGATCTGAATTGTGCAAACCTTGTCTCCCCATTGATACATTTGAGCTTTAACCCCCATGTGTATTTGGAGATAGAGCCTCTAAGTAATTAATGTTAAATGAGATTACAATGATAAGGCCCTGATAAGATTAGTGACCTAAAAAGAAGAGACACCAGAGGGTTCCCTCCTCTCTTTCCCCGAGGAAAGGTCTCTGGGACAAAGTGACTTTCTGCAAGCTAAGAAGAGAACCCTCATTGGAAATGGAATCAGCTTGATCTTGGACTCTGGCCACCAACTTTGAGGGAATAAATTCCTGTTGTTTAAGCCAAACTAATGACATTTTTTTTTATGGTAGTCCTAATGGGCTAATATCATCTTAATATACATTTGCTCTTGTTATTTGTAATGGCACACCCCCTTGCTTAGTTAATAGCAGAGAGCAAGAATCCAGGTCACCTAGGGGCCAAATCTAGCTTCCTTTTATTGATCACATCTCCTGTCACGGACAATCCCACTAACCAAGGGTCAGGGGCACAGAAGCACCCTAATACTACCCTTTCTTTTTGCTTGTATATCAAAACTAAGAGATGAACATTCACAGACATCAAAGATATCTGTCCACACAGTTCTCATGGTCTTTGATTGTTCTGGATCCAGAGCTATGAAAAGTGACAACTACAGAGCTGATTTCAGGTCTGGAAAATTCAAATGCTACTACTTTATAAGTGACTGAGATTGAACATAGAGAAATAGGGCTGTGAGCCTTCCACCTCTAGAAGAAGGTGAACATCAGCTGCTGCTTCCTCTAAATGTGTGAATGAGTGTGTGAGTGTGTATATGGCTCACTGTTTATTATCTGCACAAACACTCCAGCATCTGATGAAAGTGTCCTATGCTGGCTCTCAGCCATTGCCCATTCAATAGCTACCCTTACTTCTGTGTTACTCAGCCTCTTCATTCCTCCTTTTACATATCTCTAAAATGGGGTTAATAACCTGTGTTGTACAGTATTGACATGATGCTAGAAGCCAGTAAATATTTAGGAAATGGAAGATATTATTTTTACTATGAATAATGACCCCAGATATCTTTATTTTTAAAGGGAAGGTTTTAGAATGATCTTATTCGCCATGCCATGGGCTAAGAGGATAAAATGTCCACTGGTTACTTCTTCATGCAGACAATCATCTGAGCATTGCTTTGGTCTTTAGGTTGGGTTCATCTTGGGCTACTAGGTGCAAAAATCAGTAGAATATCTGTTCCTTTTGAAGGTTACCAAGTAGAAGTTAACTGGTTTGGGGGGAAATATCCTCTTTCCTGAAGCCTATTATGATATTGTGTGTGTGTGTGTGTGTGTGTGTGTGTGTGTGTGTGAAAGCCATCATATTCTACATGCCTGTACCTAAACTGTGCAAACCAACCCCCTAAGGTCTATCCACTATGGAGAAATAAAACAGGGAAGTGGAGCAGGCAAGCCTATATTTGAAGTAGGCTTAAACTCAAAAGCATTGGCATTCAGGCAGGCAGAGGAAGGAAGGAACATGCTATACCCACCTGCCACTGCTGATGAGGGGCTTATTTCTAAGACACACACAGCATAATGCACACACAATGCAGAGAGAAAACAAAAGACATAGATCACACATTTCAGATGGTTGGTGGACCAAGTTTAGTTAATGTCAACACTGAGAGCTTGTTCAGGGTCTGAGGTGCACATGTAACATGGAAACCATTTCATCCTACTCACCAGATGCTTCCATCTAACCACATCTCAGCAAATAGACAAATGCACACACATGAGATATCACAGCAAGCTGGCCCTGGCCCCTGGTGTGAAAGTTTGCACAATGAGATGGACACAGTAGCACAGAAAGCTTGAGTGAGGGAAAGACAAAGGTTGCCCAGGGGGCCAGTCATGGCTCTGGAGACCTTTCCATCCACGTGGGAGAGAAGGACCTTCAGAGAAGGCTGAAGGCTCCTGTTGACGGGAACTCAGACATTGCTCCATTCATCCCCATGAATGAGAATGTGACATGGCAATCAACATGAGAATCATGATGGCAGCAGTTGACTTGGTTTAAAACTATAAATGTAAACCCCCAGACTTTTACTGTAGGAAGTATCTTTAAAATTATATCTAATTTTCCTCCCACACCCTTAGGTCATACAGTTGAATTATCCCAAGCTTCTATATTTATGGCAACCACCATTCAACTTGGTTTAGAATTTAGTTTACTCCTCTAATAAGGGGCAAACCTTGCTTTTCAAAAGATCAGGAGATGTCAATTACCTTGTAAACATCACTGAATCACATGTTAGGGAATGATGGGAGGTAGGACTTGGTATCTAAGGGTGGTGGGCTGAACAGTATGGATGGACACAGGCCAGTGGATCATCCCTCCTCCCTTGAGTTCCCCAAGCTCCCCATGTGGCTGTGTCTACTGCACTGAGGCTTCCTGCACTCACCATACAGTGTGATGCTGGCGTTGGTGTTTCCAAGCTTGTTTGTGGCCACGCAAGTATAGTTCCCATAATCCTTTTCTGAAACATTGAAGAAAGTCAGAGTGGATATGCGGCCTTTGTTCTCAATCCTCATGCCATCCAGGCCGGTGGCTAGCCTGAAATAAGAGAAGGTACTGCTGGTCTGGTTCTACAAATAGGCTGAAATGGCAGACAGAGATGCTGGGAGAACTCAAAGACACTATAGCTTAACCTACAAGGAGTCTCTCCTTGTGAAAACCTTTTCTTCTAACTTACTCAGTCCCTCTAACTCAAACCCTAAGCCCTCTAGCCTCCATCAGGAAAAAAAAAAAAAAAAAAAGGAAAGGATGCTAAAAAGGTCAAATTTCCCACTTCTCATCACTGAACACTGACCTCTCTACAACTAATCTCAATTTTTGAAACAAGGTCAATTCATTCTGCCTACTTCCCAGCTTCCTCCACTCTTGTTTCTATTTCTAAATAGAGACTCTGTTGCATAAAGGAGGCTGTACTGTGGTTTAGTTTTGCATATCTTTCCCCTTTCCTTTCTCACCCTCCTTCCAGGTGGGAAAGAGCCATCAACACTGCTTCAGACATGCCCTATTTCCATTTTTGAGGTACCTGGTTTCTTCCTTGAACCACTGGAATTCAGCTGTAGGCACCGCAGAGGCTTCACAGCTCAAGATGCCCTTCTGACCAACTGAGACACCAGTGTTCTTGGCTTTTGAGATGTAGGGAGGGTCTGCAGGGAGAAATGCAACATGAGTTCATGAAATAGATGTAAGGGCACCTTCAGCCTCCTGCGGTGCAAATGGATTTTTGTGACACCTTTCCTTCCCAGTTAAATAGCCATTTATTTTAGTAGAAGAAATTCTGGCTTGGCGATATTTCATTGATCCCAACATCTTCTTCAAGTCTTCAAATCAATTCAAAGTGAACAATTGCCCCCATTCACTAAAAGCTCTAACAGTAATGGGGAACCTCCAGGAAAAACTGGCAATGGGCACAAAGACGGGACAAAGTCTTCTGATGACTTATTTCCCTGCTGGAAACAATTAGGATCTATTGAAGAATGGCTCTGGCATCGCCAGTTAGCTGCCTTAATTCTTGTGCCCTCTTTCCCCCCAGAACTCCTTGACAGTGGGTCAACTCACAGTTTACAGTGATTTTTACTTTCCGCACATCAGGTGCAGCAACATCATTCAAGGCGCTGCATTCATACTCCCCAGACTGGTCACGTTTGATGTCAGAGATTTCCAGGTATTCATCCTCACTCACAAAGCCCTGACCTTTGGAGAGGAGAGAAATGGACAGGAAACAATCAAGAAACTGAAACCAGGGGCAGAAATATATTCAGATCTAGAGCTTACGGAAAAAGAATACAAAAAAATTGTAAAAATGGGGTTCAAACATCAAGGTAAAGGTTATAGGAAAACATGTTAACCCAAAAGTATGGCATTTGAAGAAAGAAATTCTCTGCTTAAGCCTTGGAGCAAGGTGTTGTTGTCCAAGTCACTTTAACTTTTTAGATTATTTGACAAGAAGGGAAGGAGATGCCATTATATTTCTTATATGATTATAATAAGGTTAGCTAAAAGAGTATATGTAAAATAACCCAGTGCATTACTAAACTTGTGATAGTTTAAAAGGAATTGCTATGATCAATAATATAACAAAAAATGCAGGAATAACTTTTACAGTATGTTACTATGTTAATTTTTCACTATGCAGCAATCTCTCTCCAGACAGAGTACAAACTACTATTTACATGAATAAATGGCCACTTAAAAATTTTATACAAGTAGATGCAAAGCATTTGGTCTGGTCGGAAACTTTGCTGGAGAAAATAAAGTGGCGAATGAATGAATAAATGAATGAGGATGCACTTTGTAAACTGCTGTGCAGTAAGTACTCAATGAACACAGTCAAGATACAATAAATATGATATCCCCAAACTATAGGTCATACATACTTGAACAATCTGACTTGGTGATACATGCTACAAGTTTTATAGGTAGACTATTGTGAAGTTTGCAATTCAGACTGAAGGTAGTCAGGAGCTGTAAAATTTACATTATTTATAGCTAACCTTACACACTCGTGCAACATTGTAGTTCTCTTAGCTGTGTCCCTTCTCCCACACCCTGTGGCTCAGTGCAAAGATAACAGAGCCTCTGTCATGAAACTTAAATGTTCTGAATTCAGTCAAGGCGCCAGATTCCTGAGAAAACCCAGTCAACTCGAAAGCCAGGGAGGAAGCATAATCATTTGCATTTCTTATCGGACTTGCTCCTGATTCCTTTTTGTGCTCTAGGTGCGAGAGTGAAATTAGATTTCAGGATGATAAAACTCATTCTAACTTTCCCCATACTCCCTTCAAGACCGTATTTCTCATCTGATGGCTATTCGTTCAACCAAGTCTGGGTCAGCTATGGTTGTGGAGCAGGAAGGTGGGGTGGGTGTCTGGAAGGGATGGTGGACACAGGTGTGAGCAAGTGTTCTGACACTCTGACTTTGCTTAAGCCTAAGACTAGGGGAGTTTCAACCATGTTCTGCCCACCTCCCCAGACCACTTCCTGCCCTCCCTGCCTCCACCCCCCACTCCAGGTCAGGCCCTCTCAGGCTGGGTCATCAGCATCTGGATGCTGGTTACTGTCAGGATCCCTAGGGGTTATGGGACCCCGGGCAAACTTTTTTTTTTTTTATTTCTCTTTTTTAAAGATTTATTTATTTTTGTACAAGAGCTGGAGTACAGGTCAGAGGAGCGGGAGGGTGAGAGGATTCACCAGAGACAGAGCAGGGAGCAGAGCAGGCAGATCCACTGAAATACACTGCTGAGGGTGAGACAGGAGAGGTCTGCTGGGCCATGTGGGAATCTCCCTGGCCGGCCGGGAATTGAATTCACACTGCAGAGGCTGCGGACAGCTTCATAGCACAGCGTTCAATCAGCTGCACTACCAGGGAGGACCCAAGCAAATGTTTTTTCAAGTGGGCCCTCCATATATAACAGCTGAAGTCATTCTAAGTTAGCACCATTTCAGCAGCCCAATCTCAAGCAAATTTATGAAAGAAATCTTACATTGGCCATCAGAAACAATGTATTTGCCAGGTCACCTTCTGGAACCTGGGCCTTTGGACAGGGTCCCAGAACAAATCCACAGGTGTGATTCAGGGCTCTTGAGGAATCTGGTTGAATCCATGTGAGGAACAGCTATATGTAGAGTTTGGAAGTGTGCCCTAAAAGGTGAGGGCCTTCCTGGGGAAGGTTCATGCACTTCTGCCTGACCGCCTCTCCCAGACGTGAGTGCTGGTCTGGCTGGTCCCAGGCATCAGAGGGAAACTTAAAAAAAATTGAGGCAGACTCTCCAGTGCAGTGGGGTCTTCTGGGTTCTGAGATAGGACCCTATTTGCAGGGATCTCAGGGAATACCCTCACAGCTCTCTCTGCCTCAGCAGACAGTTAATCATCCAGACTAGTTACTATCCTACTTCTGGAAGGTTCGTGAGAGAGACAGAGACCTCAGAGACCTCTTCTCATTCTTTTCCTTTCTTTCTCTTAGGTTTACAGAATCTCAGCACTGAAGGGGAGTTTTGAGATCACTGATTACAGGGAGGCTAATAAAGATAAACATTGCCTCTCTTACTGAAACAATACTGGTTGACGGATCTAAGTATTTCCAAGAATTAAACAACAATAAAATCAAACACACCAACACAGTTTTCTAGATTTATCTCACCTTTTCTGTGATGAGTAAACACAGATGCTTTCCCATCCTAAAACTCCATTCTTTCAAAATGCAATATAGAGTATTTGCTGCAAGTAATTAAAGCCCACTGCATTAAAGCAAAGATATGAGCTACCTGCAGTGAGCCTGGTGGGGACTTCAGGCAGGACCACTGACTCCCTTTCCTCAGAGAGAATGAGAGAGAACCAAATTGTGCTGCATGGTGGACACCAGCCAGATGTCCTAAAGGCTCTGATAAGTTGGGAGTGCATAACCATCAACTGAGAAGTATTGACTTACACAAAGCAAAGGGGTTACTTCAAAGAATCAAGGCCAGCATATAGATCTCTGAGTGATTATCTGCATTTGCATGAGGAAAATAGAGTCTGGGCCCTTCATGGGAACATTTCTGGACAACACGACCATATTCTGGTATGTGGGGATTTATTTGCACTATCCGCAGTGCTGTTTTTATGGGATGGTTATATGACAGCAAAAAAGGGAGCAAGGGAGGGAGTGTTTCCCGTAAAATGGGGATCGTTATGATAATACTACCTCATTAAGTGAGAAAATGAATTTTGTCAAGTTTGTGCTATAAAGTAAATGCTTCTCAGCTTTTAATTTGCATGTAAATTCCTCAGGGATTTGTTAATATGTGTTCTGAATCAGTAGGTCTGGGTTGGGCCTGGGACTCGGCATTTTAGCAAATGTCCAGGTATTATCCACAGTGCTAGTCTGGGGAAGGCTGAGTGGTGAAGGCATAAGGCACCACTGAGTGCTGTCCTTGGCTCACTTAATCATGTACAATGATCTGGGAGCGTGAAGTGGCCAGTTGGTCAATAAATCTTACTGAGTGTCCTCACGCCGCTATCCTGTGGAACTAGAGTCTCAAAAGCACCCTTCTCTTTGGAGCTCAGGAAGTACATCAAGGCTGAGGACCTGCACCCCTGAAGCTAACTTTTCCACTGAGTCATTATGCTCTTACTGCAAAACAGGGCTCCTCTCAAACATAGATTTTAGTGCTAAGAATTGCGAAGAGGATTTGAAACCCTCCCATCTCCAGCCCACTGAAGGTAATTGAGATGCTATTTTCTTAACTACTTTGAATACTGGGTGAGGCCTTTAAAGCAGAACAAATCTAGGTTGCTAAATGCCTGGGGACCCAGGAAACAGCAGGGTTTAATACTTCCCCTGCCCTCTCCAGCTCTGGATGCGATGCTAAATCCTGATTCCATGCTGCAGAGAAAGGGGCAGAAGGCAACAAACGTTTTACTCCTCTCCACTAGCTGCCAGGAAGCCAAACTGCTGACTATGAAGGCAAAGGAGGAGAAGAGGGGAAGGGAGAAAACAATGAGGGAGGGGCAGGAAAAAGACAGAAAAGAGGAAGGTTGACTGGTAGAGGGGGTGCAGCCAATAATGTCTGGGTGTCACTGGAAAGATTCTGAAGACACATTCAAAGGAAACTGAAAAAAAAAAAAAAAGACAATGAGACTGTAATATTTTTTCTGACTAAACATGAAAACAGGAGCTGCGATCTGCCTCACAGTTGTGCTTTTATGGTGAGAGATCCTGTAATAAGCTGGTAACCCAGAGGCACCAGGAACCTGCCCTGCACATTCAGACACCCCAATGTAATGTGATTGACAGCAAAAGAAAATGGATTCTGGGTGCTATCAAGCTATAGCCAGCCACTGCAGCATGAGTTCGATCCCCAGCCAGGATGTTGACCTACATGGTGCAGCAGACCTCTCCTGTCTCACCTGCTGCTCCCCTCAGCAGTGTATTTCAGTAGATCAACCTGTTCTTCTCCCCACTATCTCTGGTGAATTTTCTCATCCCCTGCATGTCTGGCTCACACCCCAGTTCTTGTATGCTTAAATAAATAAATGTTTCAAAAAAGAAAAAAAAGAAAATGGATTCTGATTTATTGGCAGAAATACATGAAAAAAAGCTAAGGTTTATATTTTTTTTCTGTGGAGGACTACTTCAAAGGAGAGAAGTTGAAGTCAGTGTATTAGGAAGATTAAGATCTTCAAGGAAACAAATGGGGCCATTTATCAAAGGATGTGGGAGGTCTCTGGACCAAGACCCCTTGGATGCAGGATGTGTACTTGAGAACAGGGCAAGCTAGCCCCTGATTCTGCAGGAATGCAGATTGCTATGCAACACAGGCAGAGAAAGCTCAGACCCAGCAGCGGCCACGAGTATGCCTGCTCCATCTTAGAGGAATGGCCTGAGGCAGGAGTGTTCCTGGCATGCCCCATGTTCCTGACTTCACCTGCAGTTGTCCTTAGCTCTGAGCAGGGGTAAGGTGACACACTGTGTAGGGCCAGAGGATGGGGCTGCAAGGTCCTCAGCCTCTACTGGTCTGCAATCTCATGAACCCAGACCTGTAGTACTTTCTGTTTTCCTGTCCCTAAACTCAACTTTTCAATTTTTTTTAAGATTTATTTATTTATACAAAAATTGGGGTACAGTCAGAGGTGTGGGAAGGTGAGAGAATTCACCAGATAAAGTGGGGAGCAGAACAGGCAGACGGCCCAAAGACACTGCTGAGGTTAGCAG